GGTTGAGAGGGTGCAGGCGAGAGCGAGGGGATCGGGGGACCCTGCACCTGGAGGTGGTGGTGGAGCTGGAGCTGGAGGGTTTCAGGAGGAAATGGGGGAGAGAAGAGCCTTCCTGGCAGAGGCCCACGTCCGCAGGCCTGCAAGCCCAGCCGGGCGGGGGTCAGCGTGCTGCCTGCTGTCCGTCCGCGTCCGGGAGGGCCTGTCGGCGGTCAGCGCCGTGTCTGAGAGCCCTTCAGCGCAGGGACAGGAGAGCACAGCCCGGCCATGACATCAGCAACAGCCGGGCGGCAGCGCCTGGGGAGCAGCGCCCGTGCCAGGCCCTGCACAGCCCTTTGTGTGCCTGACCTCACCCTCTGGGGCAGCCCACCCAGGTCTCCGGCTGGTGCCCGGTGCACAGCGGGCACAGCGGGCTCGGGAGAGAGGCTGGGTGCCTGGTCCTAGGCCCGCGAGGGGGGCTGGGCGTGCTGTGTCTTCGGGGATGGCTTGTGGTCAGGCTGGGCTGAACCCTGAGCCTGTGATCCACCCTGCAGCTTGTCAGTCCTGCTGTCAGTCACCACCCAGGACCCAGGCTTCCTCTCCTCCTTGCCTGCTGGGCCCTGCGCCCTGCAGACCCTCCTCAGGGCCCTCCCACTCAGGACTCGGTCCCCCGCTCTGCTCCCGGCTGTCTGAATGCACCCCTGACACCGTGTCCGCGGGGAGCGTGTCTTCTCCGCTGGAGGTGGAGTTCTCACAGCAGGAACCATTCTGCACACGGGGGACGCGCTGTCAGTGGCGTCCAGGCCGGAGGGGTGCATGGGATCCAGGGAGCAAGGCTGGCCCCCTGTGAGGGGCTTGGGCTGGGTGCTGGGCAGGGGCTGCGTGTGCAGAGCAGGTTTGGAGGCTGATGGTGCTGAAGGTGGTGGGGGTCGGGTCTGAGGAGGCAGAGACCGTGCTGACGGTGTGACAGCAGACGTGGGGCGTGGAGGGCGAATATGAGGGAGGCAAGAGGAGGCAGGGTGGGCTCCGTGACCAGCTGGCTGGGACGTGTGTGCTCATGGGTATGCACCCCACAGGTATGTGCCCTTTGACCAGGACGGGGAAGGCTGGAGCCCACAGTGCCCACTTTCCATGAGTGGCAGGAAGGAGTGATTCCCAGGCTGTCCACTGCCCTGGGGGTGGGGCTCTGGAGCCCCAGGACCACTGCTCCAGGCTCCTGACCAGCCACCAGCCTCGGGGCTTCCCTTGGCAGGACGCGTCCATCCCTGTGAGGAACAAGCCCACAGCCGGGTGCCTGCTGAGGGGCCAAGGGCAGAGGAGCACCATGTGGGGGTCCGCAGTCCCCGCTTCGCCACCTGCTCGCTCTGTGACCTTGGCCGGTCTTTAGGCCTCTGCACCCCAGTTTCCTCATCTGCAGATGGGATGAGTCACGCAGACCTGCCAGGCTGCCATGAGATGAGACGGACACACACACGGAGCTGTTCACATGGCGGCTCCAGGCAGTGCGGGGTGTCTTGTTAGTGGCGAGCAGCAGGTGTGTGGACACCCCTGGGCACAGATGGAGCGGGCCCCTCCGTGGGAGGAGGAGGGGCCTTGCGTGCTGGAGGCCTAGGACATTAGGGCAGGGATGCCGGGTCCGTGGGTTCGGTGGAGAGGTTGGGGAGCGGTGGATGTCTTGGCCTGGACCTGGACATCCTGTCCAGAGCTGCTGGATGCAGGGCCTGGGTGCTGAGTCCCAGAGTCTTGCCAGAGGGAGAGCATCCTGGTTTCATGGTCACGACCTGGCAGACCTCTCCAGGGGAGAGGGAGGGAGGGAGGGGGGAAGGAGGGACCCCTTCGTTCATCAAAGAGGGTGCATGCCCCTCCCCTGGTGAGCGGGAGCACCTCCACACCAATACAGGCACCTGTGCTGGTCTGGGAACATCTCAGGTGCCAGACAGATCACCTCTGTCCACCTCCCGGCCTGGCAGGGCCCTGGCAGTGTCTGCTGACTGAACGCCGTGTGGCCAGTCCTGGGTGTGTCTTTGGGAGCCAGAGATGCACTTGACCTGACCAAGTGGCCGAGGGACTAGGGGCTGGCCCCTCCTGGCCCCCCCTGCCCCGGCATCTGAGAAGACCCCCCTCCATCCCATGGCCTGGCCTCTCTCGGTCCTGACGGAGCTGAGCTGCCACATTCCTGTGCCCATCGCTCTCCCCACCCATGTCCTGCCCTCCCTCTGGAGCAGGTTGGGGCTGTTTGGGTGGCCTCGGTTGGCTCCCAGCCCCCACCTGGGAGTCGAAGGGTCCTAGCCGGTCTGGCCTGACTGAGGAGGCTGCGAGCAGTGGTTATGGGGCTCCAGAGCGCCCAGCGCCTGTGAGGCCGCAGCCCGTCTGCACGGATCCTGTGCTGTGGCCGGGGGAGCAGGAGGGCGCTGCCTGCCTCTGCTCTTCCTATGGCTGGGCTGGTCCCAGGGCGTGTGCACCCTCCCTGGCCTCTGCCCACAGTGCAGGCTAGCCCAGGCGGCCTCCAGGCACTCCGCCTGGCACTGGTGACGGGCGCTGCCAGCAGGTGACAGAACGCATGCCCGTGTTCTCCCGCCCCCATCAGCCTCAGCCCACACGGGACTGGCTGCTGGGATGTGGCTGTGGGAGGAAGTCTGGTCCCTGTCTGTGTCTCAGGGGACCTAGTGCCCTTCCTCCTAGGGCCCCCACCCCCACCCTGTGACGCAGGGCTGTGCTGGTCCCTGGGGTAGGGGCGGCTCTGGTGGGGCGAGGTGGAGGTCGCCTCCATGGCCACAGGGCTCCCTCGGGTGGGGGTGCAGAACCCACCCTTGCCTCAGGGTGGGGCCCATCGCCAAGCTGCAGCCTGGCCCCTGCCAGCACAGACCGAGGTGTGGGCTGGGGTCTCAGAGGGGTCAGGAGAGCCAGGCCTCTCGACCGCGTGTCCTTCCGGGAGGCTCCGGAAGCTGCCCTGCACTCTGACTGAGGAACCTGTTTGCTTGTGGGGTGTGAGTGGGGCTGGCTGTGGGCGGATGGCGGTGTAGCCGGTTGTGTGCATTCAGCGAGCGCTAATTAGGCTGTGGTCTGTGCCAGGCTCAGGTGTGCGATGGGTACACAGTCGTGGCTTCTTGCTCACGGAGCTCCCATTTGGCCCAGCCCCCCAACAGGTGTTCAGGAGTCAGGGGTGTGGTGGAGGGAGGCAGGGCCTGCAGGCCCCAGGCTCGGGCAGCAGACAGCTGCCTGAAGGAAGGGGCGCTGTTGGGCTGAGACCTGAAGGTCAAGTTTGGGGTCATCGTGGCCCAGAGAAGGTGCTGGTGCCGTGAGCATCCCTTGCCCTGCCCAGCCACCTGCCCCTTAGGTGGTAGGGACAGTTCAGGAGTCGCCTCCAGTTGGTTCTTTGGAGGGTGGAGCCCTGCAAGTAAGAGTTGACGTTTCATACGATGAAGGGAGGGAGGGAGGGGACGGTGGACAATAGCCAGCTACTCTGTCCACGTCCTGGGGGAAGAGGCGCCGAGAGAGCTGCCTGCCTGCCTGGGAGGGAAGCTGTGGGGCAGAGCTGCACACCCCCTCCTTCCTCCGCCTCTGCCCCATGGCAGGAGCTGGGTGAGCCCTGGTGTCAGCCAGACCTGGGCCCAGATGTGGTTTGGAGCCCACACCCGTCGGCCTCCAGGGAGCTTGGGGGAAGGAGCCATCCCTTAGGGCACCCCAGCCTGGGCCGGGCAAGGGTGGCCCTTGGGGGGGGGCGCTGTGGGCATGTGTGTAGGTATGTGTGGCACCAGCAGACATCTGTCCCTTTTCCCCACCTCGTCTTGTCTGCCACCTTATCTCCGAGTGTCGTGCTCGGAGGGGGAGGGGAGCAGGAAGCTGAGGTTTTGTGAGTCAGTCATGGCCCCTCACAGCCACCTCCAGCGCCACCTCCAGCGCCACCTCCAGTGCCAGCCAGAACCTCCTGTTGCCGACTTGGTGCTGCCTCAGGACCAGGGGGTGGTCTCCTGGGAGGGCGCTTTCTGACCTCAGGACCGGGCCCACCCTCACCTGTCGCCCGGCTCTCTGCTGCCCTGGGCAGTGGTGAAGCTGTGCGAGCAGGGGAGGGCCTGCGGGCGAGTGTGGGAGGTGAAGGTGGGAGGCTTGTGTCTTTCCTGCTTCGCTCTGCCGGCCTTCGGGGCGGGAGCTGGAGGAAGAACAGAGACTGCGTCCTTTCTCCCAGAGTCCCGAGAGGCCAGGTCCCCAGCAGGGCCTGGTCATGCCTCCAGTTTGGTTCTGGGATGAGTAAGAGCCACAGGTGTGACCTTGACCTGGAGCAGTGCCTGGGCACAGAGTGGGGGAAGCAGACAGGAGGGGCATAGTGGGCCCTGGGGTTCCAAGGAGTGGAGGGGTCTCTGGGGAGCACCCTGGGAGTTAGGCTGGGAGGCAGCTTCCCTGGGGCACAAGCAGGGACTGGGCCTCCTGCCCCAGCCCTCCTCCCTGGCCCTGGGTGGCCGTGCACAGCGGCCTCCTGTGCACCCTCCGCGCTCCTCTGGGGGTGCTCTGTCTCTGAGGCAGTGGGCACCGTGGTCTTTCCCTGCCACAGACACTGCGTGTGGGACCTCTGTGCCTCTCAAGTGTGCCTCGGCTGGCGGTGAGGCAGAGCCAGGGAGCCGGGCTGGGCGCTGGGCTGCGGGCGCCCACTGTCCTGGTGCCAGCTGTCAGGCCGGGGCGTCGTGAGGGCCTAGTGCCTAGGCTGGGGGTTGGCTGGGGGACAGTGTGGAAGGATCGCCCCTCGCTGGAGGGGGTGCGCTGTGCAGTCGGCTGCGTGCAGGCTGCAGTGGGTCCTGCGGGGGGTGCTGACACTGGGCCAGGCCTGGGAGTGGGAGCCAGACAGAGAGGCCCGTCCCACAGCAGGGCTTCTCTCTGCCCTCTGGTGGCCCTGGGGTCTGTGGCTGCCTAGTGGCCTCTCTCAGGATTATTTTTAGGGAAATTATAG